CTACCCAGCCATAAGAAACGATGAAATCCAGCCAGTTGTGACAACATGGATGGACACTGAGGATATTATGCTAAGCAAAATAAGTCAGAGGGAGAAGGTCAAATACCATATGATCTCATTCATAAGTAGAAGATAAAAACAACAACAAACAAACACATAGAGACAGAGATTGGATTGGTGGTTACCATTGGGGAAGGGGGGAGGGAGGAGGGCGAAAGGGATGATTAGGCACATGTGTGTGGCAATGGACTGTAATTAATCTTTGGGTGGTGAACATGATGCAATCTATGCAGAAATAGAAGTATAATGATGTACACCTGAAATTTATACAATGTTATAAACCAATGTCACCGCAATAAAAAAAAATTTTAAAGCTCATAAATAGGCAAAACAACTCTATGATGTTAGAAATCAGGATACTGTTTACTCTGGGGAGGAGGGAGATAGTAGTGACTGGGAGTGAGGATGAGGGAGGTTTCCAGAGCGCTGGTAATTTTCTGTCTTGATATGGGTAGTGATAATGAAGGTGTGTTCATTTGGTGATCATTTATCGAGCTATGATTTGTGTACTTTTCTGTACGCATGTTATATTTCAATAACAAATTTGAACAAATTTAGCCAACACCTTAATACTAAAAATTTACTGCTAACACACACACACTTTGAGTACAAAGATGTTGGTTTCAACATTGCAACAGCAAAAAAAAAAAGAACTTGCATGTCAATCAAGAGTGAAGGCTTTCATTAGCAAAAGTCTGATAACTGCTGGACTCGAGAAGTTAAGGTAAGAAACTATGGATTGTTACTGGGAAGAGAATCACTGGATAAGCTCCTTAGAGCACAAAGAAATCTTCTAAATGGTGAACGCTAAAGCCTACAAACCTAAAGGATTTTACTTGGTTTTAAGATGACTGATCCACTTCCAAAAGCAGCAGCATTTCTTCTGAGATTCAGACAATGAATACACTTTCTTCCTGTCTCTTTCTCCGCAATTTCTAAAACCTGTCTATTCTTTGGGGTCTCTGCTACAGTCCTACGAAGGCTAAATTAAAGCAAAGATATCAGATTTCTGGATAAGGCATTTCTTCAGAGATGCATCACACTGGAAGCTGAGGTGGGTGCTGGATAACAGTGCAGCTGCCAGGAGTGTCTCAAAAGCTACCACCATCTCTTTCGTACCTTCAGGTCACTGGGGGGCTGGCC